AATTCCCTCTGATTATAGTGTTCAGGCATAAGGACTATTACTTAAGACTTTTTAAAGATGATGAGATAATTACTGCTCTTGAAGGCATTCAATTCCTGCTTTTCCCATCTCCTTTTTTTTCTGCCTAGAGGATTTAAAGACTATAGGAGTTGTCCATGGCTTCACAAATGGCATTGGGGAGAAACTGATTCTATCCTATCTCCATTCCCATTTGGAATATGTTTCAACAGCTGAGGGAGGTATTCACAGGTTGGAAGAGACTCTGAGGTTTGCAGGAGAAATGCTAAGTCCTTCCCTTCAAATGCTCCTTGACTGCTGGGTGAGGGGGGAAAGGAAGTGAGGGAATGAAAATAAGTATTCTGGGTAAGTGCACAGAGGGTTGGCTGGAATATTGTGTAGAAGCATTTTGCATGGCCACATTTTGTTGCCGGTCCCATTACTATTTACTAAAAGCAAACTCATTTCTCCAAGTGCTACAGTGGTACCTTCCAAATATAGGAGGAAATATCAGGATTACATAATATTGTTTAAATATTTTTAAAGCTTTTGAAAAAGGAGAAAAAAGCAAAATTGTGAGTATAAAATGTAGGGCCCTTCCNTGGAAGGGGCCGTAGACTTTTGAAAGTGAAACAAATAAAAATGAAAGAGTTGGAGCAGCTGTCGTTTGTTTTTTTGTTTTTTCTTTTTAAAAGCTTGCCTTTATTTCAGCAGCAATAGTAACAACATCGGCAACTAAAGACAAGTAACAAAGTAAAGAGAACAACAGAAATACAGCAAAAACAGCAAAAACAACAATCACTAATGAGACCAAATAAAATGCTTCTTTAATCAGATAGCTGAGGTAATTGCATAAAATCACTACCCACTCCTTTAAAAGGCTTGTTTTTGACAGCCATTCTAAGTAAAGGAATTCCACAGGTCCAGAGAAATAAAATTGTGTCCAGGTCTCTCCCAAAAAAATCCTCCCCCCACTCCATCTTCCCACATGTATAACCAACACCTGGAGTTGTTTTTTTTTTCCGGTTCCCAGCCCTTCCGACCTACCTGTAGGGTAAAGTTACGGATAGTGTATTCATCATACTTGTACACTCCTTGAAGTTGGATGGTGAAAGACCCATATGTTGCCTCTGTATCAGGCCAGTAACAGATACATTTCTGAAATCAAAAGGACAAAGACCCCCATGAATCAGAAGCCTAAAATAATACAAAAAAGCAGAACCATGCACCCACCAGCTACCAGACACAAAGACCCATCTCCACAGTCTAAGCCCCAGTATGTAAGTAGCACATGTATTGCAGGAAGGAGCCTGTGCAGCAAGTGGCAAGTTGGATAAGGCTGCGGCATGCAGGAAGCTCTGGAGCATTGATTCTTTCTTTTTACAGCTGCTTTAGAGAAGAGAAAAGGCTTAAAGGAATATTGGAGTTAAGGAGATACCTGAGTTACAGTCATCGTTACTCATTGCCCCATACATTTATATGCTTCATATCTGCCAGGATTCACCCCAGCTTCCTGACCTTCCAGAAATAAGCTTCAATTCTGTGTACACTATCCACATGGAACAATTTCCAATGAATAGAAGTGTTTTGCTTTCTGTGTAAACATACATAGGAATGTAGTGTAAAGCAATGGACATCAGGAAGAAGGTGTAAACAATACCCATATATGTGTAATGATTTTGTTAAGAACAATTAAAGTGATCCCAAACCTTGTGGGACAACAACAACAACAACTTTATTTATACCCTGCTAACATCTCCCACACCAGAAGCAACTTGCAGTTTCTCAAGTCGCTCCTGACATGAAAAAAAAATCTCCCAGAAAGGTCTCAAAATAGCTTAAAGAAGCACATATAAGTGCGATAACACATAAAAATAGAGGTAAAATTACATCAACATATTAAATAATGACAGCATCAATTAGGATACAAAAGATCCAATATAAAAATCAATGAGACGTAGTACTAATTGCCGTTAAAATGAATAGTTCAGCATTCTACCCGCAGCCCAATTCAGCCATTAAAGTGCTAGTGCCAATATTAATCTCTTTGGTCCTTAGATTAGCAGATGTCTTAATCATTCCCAAAAGCCTATCTGAAGAGCCATGTTTTCAGCTCTTTGTGAAAACACTGTAATGTGGTAACAAGCCTACTATCCATGGGGAGGGTGTTTCTAAGCCAGGGGGCCACCATTGAGAAGGCCCTCTCACTCATCCCCACCAGGCACGCATGAAATAGAGGTGGGACTGAGAGGAGGGCCTCCCTGGCAGATCTTAGAGCCCGCACTGGTTCATAGGGGGAGATGCGGTCATGAAGATAGGTTGGATCTGAACCATGTAGGGCATTGGTTCAACCTGTGGGTCCCCCGGTGTTTTGGCGTACAACTCCCTGAAATCCCAGCCAGTTTACCAGCTGTTAGGATTTCTGGGAGTTGAAGGCCAAAACATCTGAGAAACCACAGGTTGAGAACCACTGATGCAGTTTGAATTGGGACCAGAAACTTGTCGGCAACCAGTGGAGCTGCCTCAATAGGGGTCTGGTGTGCTCCCTATAGCTGGCTTTCATTAGCAATCAGGCTGCCAATTTTTGTTGGTCCTAACAAAGCTACTGCCCAACTTTGGATTTTGGGTATGTTTTATTCTTCTCAAAGATAGCTACTTTTGTTCCTGCAACTCATTAGGATGTCCATTCACCCTTCAACTGTTATGCTATACTGTACCTGCAATGCATTTTAGAAGGGTGGAAGTGTCATTCGAGAGACCTAATTAATCCCATTCCTCCAACAGCAGAGAGATGGTCCTCTGATGGAAATGCCGGCATCCTTGCTGATAAATATCTCCTCAAATGAATGGCACAAATGGCAGTTAAAGCTGCATTAACTCTACAATATAGATGCACCCAGAAATGGGGGGAGAATTTTAGCAGCTATTTTAAAGGGACTGAAAGCATCCAGGGGTGACTGTGTGGGGTGTAGCAGATGCTCTGTTTCAGAATCTGGTGAAAGGTCAGCATTTCTGCCCTCTGCTTGAAGACTCTCATGTTAGAATATTGTGTGTTTGCACATTTGCAGACTAAGCACATATTAGAAATATGATATAAGTATCTCTTCCTCAAGATACTTGGGACCAAGAGTGTTTTGGATTTTGGATTTTTAAAAGATTTTGGATTATCTTTATGTACAAGTTCATATTTGTTTTATATATACTTCATATCCATTTCTGAAGGTAATTTTATACAATTTTTTAAATACTTTTGTCCATAAAACATCATTTTATTTCACTGAGACATCAGAAAACAAAATTGTCACTATCTCAGCCACCCACATGAACAATTTTAGATCTTGGGAGTATTTCAGATATCAGAATATCAAATAAGGCATGCTTTATTATACCTTGATAACAATTTTTATTTCCTTATTATAGATAGTGATGTATCTACAATATAGTAAGAACAAAAATGTTCCGATTGCAGATACTATTTGATTGTGTGTATATGACATTATGCTCTAGCTTTAAAGACCTTATCAAGTCTTACCAACCCTAAACCCCCACCAACCAGCAATTCATTCAGGTTCTTTCCAGGATGGGGAAAAACATAGACTTCATGCCCCAGGTACCTCTTTCTCTTCCTTGAGTTTGGTGAGCATGACTATGAGAGGAGACTCTTCCTGCCACACCATTGTCCAGAAGTCATTTATGGTATTTAGCATTGGTCCTTGTGTGGCAATGTAGGCCTTCTCTTGTCCTGCATAACCCTAAAGCATGGAAAAGAAATTATAGCCATAAACAAGAAGACACAATTCAATAGTCATCTTCAGAATTACCATGTCAAATTATGTTTTGACTCACCCGGATGTAATTTGCATTGATGTAACACTCGTCCTCTTGGTTCCTCATTGTCTTGAGACATACACGACTCTGAGGATCTAGAGAGACAGTTACATGGAGTCCTTGAATGCTCTATTATTATTATTATTATTATTATTATTAATAATAATTTATATCCTGCTTCTCACCCCCCCCCCCCCACCAACCGGGGAGTCAAAGCAGTTAACAGCAAGGTATAAAACGCACAAGGTACATTGGAATAAAAGAAGTAGACATAATTAAAAATTAACAATTGAAACATAATAAAGCAGTTAGATTATAATAGAACATGTTACAGATTAAAATACATTCTACACTTTAGGTATAGTTAAAACTAAATAAACATAAAACGAATCCATTATCAGTCCAATTACCACTTTTCCATAAAGGTACTGCACAAAAATGTTCCGCCCAAATGTTACTATACCGCCTATCACTCTTGTATTATTCTTCATCAAAGGCCTGATTCCAGAGAAAAGCTTTTATTTGGCGCCTAAAAATTAGTAGGGAGGGAGCCATTCTGATCTCATTACCCACTCTGCCAGTGCTCTAGGATACATGTGGTGGTTCTTGCCCCCCAAAGGACCCTGTCCACTTCATCAGACTGCACCAATGGAAAAGAATCAATTTAGGTTGGACAAGGAGGTGCCCACATAACTTCCAAAGACACTGCGCTGGAACTGGCATCTAAGTCGGAATGGATCTGAGTGCCTTTATCCACGAAGTGCCAAGCAAATTCCTCACAATGACCCACCGAGTGGACAGGGGGCCCCAGCTGGGGGCTAGGATGTAATAGTCCTCTAACCACTTGGAACAGCTTGGAAGGCCAGTTCTTTGTGGATGCAATGTTGCTAGCAAAATAAGACTTTTCTGCTGCTTCCTTTTCTGTCAAGTAGGTTTTTAAATAAGCTCTGTCACGTGCTTGGTCTGATTCACTCCAAGTTTGTTGCCAACATCACTCTAGTCCCCATCTCACTCACTTCATTGCCGCCAACTCCATGGTATACCAAGGTGCTGGTTTGGATCTGCTCTGTGAGAGAGGATGCTCGGGAGTGATTGTGTCAACTGCCTTAGCCATTTCCTGATTCCAGAGGTTTGACAAGGCTTCGACAGAATCACCTACTGAAGTAGCAGGAAAGCTCCCAAGAGCTGCCAGGAATCCATCTGGATCCATAAGCCTCTTGGGGAGGACCATCTTAACCCCCACCCCCCCCCCTTGCAGAGGTTTGGGGCAGCATTGAGTCTAAACCTCCTATCTGGTCAGAAACTGGCCATGTCAGGGATTGTTACAGAAAGATGGCCCTGACCTTTGCATCTCATTCTTTCAAATCTCATTGCTTTTGTGCCCTTTCTCAAGCTTCCATTTATATTAAATTTATCTGCTGAGCATTCATGTCAGAACTAATGTCACTACAGAAGTTGGAATGCAGAACAGTCATGATATTTCCCTTCCAATATGGAGATTTCTTACTCCCAGTAATGAAAGTGTAAGGCTCAAAATCTGACTCACCTTTAGCTTTTGGTTACTTCTTCCTCCCCCATATGCCACCTTACTTGGCCTGGATGGGACCTCACTTGCACAAGGGCCCACAATTGTGCCATCAACTTATGCAAGTGGGTGCCATCCATGCCAAGTAAGGTGGCATCTTTTGTCTATATCTGGCAATGATAATTTCTAGCTCGCCACACTATAGCTTTTAAAGTCACAAGTACCCATATAACAAATAGCTCTGAACAATAATAAATTAATGAACCAACAGAAATTATATAGGACTCACACTTAAAAAGTATTATTGTGTGCAAATTAAATTACAATTAAACTGGTGTCCCAACCTTCTTCCAAAAAGTTGTGGATTTGGTTGGTTTGTATTATCCCCTAGTTCTGTAGCGCAGGTTCAGGAGGTAGAAAATAGATGGCCAGGTATGTCTGAATAGGATTTTCAGCTCAATCTCCTCAGTGTTATATACTATTTTGCACTAACAGGACACTGTTTCTTTACCAATGAATATATTTTTCTTGTATACCTGCCCTGGTGTAATTAAAAAAGATGCTGTACTGTTATTTTCTGACTATGAAGACTAGAGTCTTTATCAAGTCATGGACTTTATAGTACTGCTGTCCTGCAGCCGATTTCTGTGGCCTATAGTAAAACTTATCAAAGTTGAGGTAGATATCTGGACTATTATGAAAGAGAGGTCCTACCTATTCCTTCCCCCTTTTCCTCCCCCTTTCTCTCCTTTCTTCCTTCTCTACCTCTTTCTTTCTTTCACTACTTGGTTTCATCCTTCTCTCTTTCCTTCATTCCCTCCCCCTTTCTTCCTTTGCCTTTCTTCCCTCCCTGTTTGCTTCCTTCTTTCACTTTTTATTTCCTTTTATTTTACCACCATCATAACAATAACAATAATGCAATGCATTGCCTCTGGGACCTGACACCTCTCCCATTCCCCCAGGGTCTCATAGGAATAATAGCATCATAATAATAATAGAAATAACAACCTTTACCCGCCACGTGTTGCTGTGGCCAATCTTCCCTCTTTCTCTCCTTCTTTCCCTCCTTCCTTCCCTCCCATCTTTCCTTCTCCTCTTCTTTCTCTATCTCTTTCCTTCCTTCCCCCTTTTTCTTTCTTTTCTGCTGTCTCTCTTTTCTTTCCTTCCATCTTTCCTTTTCTTTCCTTTTCTTCTTCCTTCTTTCTCTAACTTTCCTTCCTTCCCCATTTTTCTTTACCTCCCTTTCTCTTTCTTCCTTCTTTCCTTCCTTCCTGTCTTTCCTAGATTTTGACAGGGCGGGAAGGGGCGGGGTGGGGTTTGGAGGTGGCGTGAAGTAAAAGGAGGTAAGATTGGGGCGGGGGAGTGATGGAGCGTGGGGTTGCGTGTGTGTGTGCGGCGGCGGGGGGAGTGGGGTTGCGTGTGTGCGTGCGGCGGCGGGGGAGTGATGGAGCGTGGGGTTGCGTGTGTGTGCGGCGGCGGGGGGAGTGGGGTTGCGTGTGTGCGTGCGGCAGCGGGGGGAGTGATGGAGTGTGGGGTTGCGTGTGTGTGTGCGGCGGCGGGGGGAGTGATGGAGTGTGGGGTTGTGTGTGTGTGTGGCAGGGGGTGTGTGGTGTGCGGGAAGCGGCGCGGCGGGGCTTGGAGTGGGCATGGTTTCCGCAGAGGGAACGTTGGCCGGAAGGGCATGTGCGCGCGCCAGGGAACTTGCGGCTGGGCGCCAATGCGCATGCTCAGTGGTTTTGCCGTTTTGTGAGTGTGTTGTTGTGTTGTTTTTCATTTTGAGTAGATATGTTTGTACCTTGTGGGTTGTGTTATGGGCATGGGAATTTTGGTTAAGTTTCGTTGGGGTTTTTTTGAGTTTTGTTCTTTTGCCGTTTTGTGAGTGTGTTGTTGTGTTGTTTTTCATTTTGAGTAGATATGTTTGTACCTTGTGGGTTGTGTTATGGGCACGGGAATTTTGGTTAAGTTTCGTTGGGGGATTTTTGAGTTTTGTTGTTTTGCCGTTTTGTGAGTGTGTTGTTGTGTTGTTTTTCATTTTGAGTAGATATGTTTGTACCTTGTGGGTTGTGTTATGGGCATGGGAATTTTGGTTAAGTTTCGTTGGGGGTTTTTTGAGTTTTGTTTCTCCGTTGGATGCCCCTAACAAATTTATATATATAGATGGACTTTATAGTACTGCTATCCTGCATCTGATTTCTGCATACGAATGTTGCTGGCAACACTTGAATAACAGTCATACGGCTCCTCTCGTGGTGTAAGACGCAGATAGTTGCCCAAAGCTCCAGGGCCATGACATGGGTGATTATCTGTCTAAAGTTACAGAGGACAATCTTATTCTAGAGAAAGGACCATGAGAAAAAAGAAAAGGACATTGAGGATGTTATCACAGCTCACAGTTTTCTCTGTTGTGGTTAAGTGTCGAACAAATAGCACTGACATAATAGTAAATCTTGAGAAAGACATTAAGCAAAATCCAAAAGAGAATTTATGGACCCATCAGACTGTTCTTTTCCCATTTCCTTACACTTCCTGTTAAGAAATGGATCCAAGGTGAACATACTTGGTAAAATGGATCTGTATCTGTCCTTTGCAGCTCGTCCAGGGATGTCCAGCTCTTCAGGACTGATAAAATTTGACGGGATTTTCTGTTAAGGAGGAGGAAAGGAGGAATCGCTGAAATAATTTTCCATTCTGAAATACAGAGTACCCAAAGTGTATGAAAAGAGAATTAATGCCCTTTCCCTAGTCATGTAGATACATTTTTTTTGTTTTACTTTTAAAGCTGTATGTTATTTCAGCCAATCACTCGATCAAGGCTGCATGGGGGGGTCTTTTATTCTCCCATTCTGAAATAGGCCCAGTTCTGCATAGAGAACATATCCTTCAACATTTCACAGATGAAACCTGGGACATACATGGCCTAACAACATCAGTGTCATAAAGATGGCAAAAGTTATTGATGAGGAAGAATAGACAAACTGGAAGAGGCTCAGCCTACTTGAGAGAGCACCAGTTTGGGTCCTTTCTCTCCTCCTTCAGAGACTGCATCCTAACTGTTGAATTAATGTAGCTTGACACCCCTTAAACTGTCATAGTCAATGCTATGGAATCATGGGAACTGTAGTTTTACAAGTTCCTTAGCCTTCTCTGTCAAAGAGGACTGGTATCTCACTAAACCATAACTCCCATGATTCCATATGATTGAGCTACACCACTTAAAGCAGTGTCAAATTGCACTATGTTTTCCATGTAAGTATACCCTGAATTAGCTGAATGCAAATAGGATTGACAGACTGAAAATTCAAGAAGGCTCATGTACCTTTAATGGTTATATAGAAGAGTCAAGTAATAAGTAACATCTGTTGAAATTCCTCTTCTACACAACCACTATGCTCTAGCAATCCTAAGTGAAAACTACTTTTGCACTTTGAACTCAATTTGCAGCAATTAAAGTATGACAAAGGGGGAAAGTTGGGGGAGGAGAGAGAAATCGTGGCATTTTGAAAGCAGCTCAGAAAGTGAATGTCAGCAGATCAATTCGGTTTGTCCCCACAAAATCAGGACAGTTGAAAGGCATAAGAAAAAGAGGTAAAATGTATGTCTGGCAGTTCTTCTCTGTTAAGATGCTAGCACAACATCTGATTTGTAAGGAGGTGGGTATCGACTCACAAAGCCTGTAGAAATTAAACATAGTGAGGGAAAAGTCTGTCTTTATTGTCGTTAGTTGGTCTGTCTCGCCATTAGGCAGAAAGAGAACAATTGCTCTGAAGTGTTTCAGGGCAGCATTTAGTGCACCATGCAACTTGTTCTATGCCTCCTAAGCTGAGCTGTTGTTCTCATATGCTGTAGAGAATTCTGTCCCATTCCTAACACTAAAATAAGATTCAGCAATCTGTCTGATTAGCTTCTGTACATCAAATAGTGGGAAACATGACGCAGTCTTCTCGTTCAGCCCACAAAGTGTCTTGGACCAACATCAGCTGAGAGAGTAGCAAGGTAGTTGGTTTATTAGAGGAGGTGAGATTTGAAACAAGATGGGGGCAAGATAGACTAGCTTACCGCAAACTCCTCTTGAAGTTGCTCCAGTCTCCAGGTCTGCTCTTGGAGCATTTTTTGAGAAAGAATGTGGCTGGCTGTGTTCAAGACCTGCACTGTCACATCTCTAGGAGTGGAGACTGACCGAATAGGTTCTGTGTTGCTCAAGGAACTCATGTCCAGGACCAGTGACACACTGGAGCCCCTTCTGAAAGGAAAAGAACCCTTAATATATGAAGTATCAGTCTCAAAAAATCAAGTGCTAGTCTTTATCTTATTCTTGTATTGTGCCTTAAAGTCATTTCAACTTATGACAGCCTTAAGGCTAACTTATCATTGAGGTTTCTCATTAATTATTCAGAGGAGGTTTGCTTTTACCCTCCTCTGAAGCTGAAGCAGTGTGACTTGCCCAAGGTCACTTAGTGGGTTTCAATTGCTGAGAAGGGTTCAAATCCCAGTTTCCAATGTCATGGTTTAGCATTCATACTACTACATTATGCTGTCTTTCTTTATATATAAAGTCCTAATCAGTTTGATGTTAATTCTAGCGGTTACAGGAGGACAAAAAGTGGTTAGTAGATTAAAAATACAATTATTGTTTTTAAAATTAATTCAATAGTATTGAAGTTGTCTTGGGTGCCAGACTAAGTATGCTGATGTAGGAGGTGGAAGACAAACTGACTCTTTGTGTTAGCAAGGAAATGCCCATTTGAATGCTTCCCTCCATGCAACACCAAAAAGAGGCTTTCCTTCCCATAATCACAATATGGGAGGTGCTTGCTTTCATCTCCCATAGGCACAAACAAATGTGTGGTTGGAAGATAAGACAAGATTTATTTAGTGGTGGTTACATTTGTACACTTTCCTTCTTGCTCAGTGCTGAGAGCATGATTTTAGCCATGCCACTCTGGCATTTTAGCCATGCCACTCGGGTTAAACTGTGTATGAGTGATAGAGGAGAGGGGGGAAGAGATAAACATGTTGAAGGCAAGGTTGAACTGGGTTATCTTGATTCAAACCCTAAATTCCAGTCAATATGCCATTCTTCCTTTCCAAATTGATTAAAAAGAGTATGGGGTGCCTGGGAAAGCCTAAACTATTACATACAGTAGAGTCTCACTTATCCAACATAAACAGCAGACCGTTGGGTAAGTGAAATGTTGGATAATAAGGAGGGGTTAAGGAAAAACCTATTAAACATCAAATTACGTTATGATTTTACAAATTAAACACCAAAAATCATGTTTTACAACAAATGGACAGAAAAAAGCAGCTCAATACACAGTAACGTTATGTAGAAATTACTGTATTTATGAATTTAGCACCAAAACATCGCAATGTATTGAAACAGCTGTGGGTCCGGGCGGGAGGCAGACTGCATTGGAAAATACAGAACATTGGATAAGCGAAGGTTGGATAAGCAAGACGCTACTGTACTAAAGGTTGATAAGCAAAGAGACATACAAATAGGTTGATATAATGAAACATAATTCAGATATCACTACTGATGTCTTTTATCATGGAGAGCAAAAGTCAAAAGTATTTCCAAATTCATCACCTCTCACGCACTATGATTTCTGTATGTACATATTTTTGCACATTCCAATGTGATGTCTATGCAATATTTTGAAACATTGCAGCAATAACACTTACCTATCCTGCAGCCGCACATGTTTCTTAACTTCCTGACTCTTGCTGGTAGCCTTCTCCATTCCTGCTTCCAGTTCTTCACGTTGCAGGCTGCTGGAACTATTGATTCTGAAGCATACTGAACAAGCCAGGACCATGCTGTGCCAGCAAAGGATTCTTCGTCTTAAGATATGAGGGGGGAGAAGCCACTGGAGCCCCAAGAGCTGGTTCTATGTAGGTCAATGAGCCCATGGACATAAAGAAGTTCCTGGATACCCATAAAGAAGACCATTCATTACCAAGGGCTCCACTACCCCAATGCCTGCCAGTCAAGCTCTTCCCCGGGGGGGAGGGGGGGCAGAGACGGGATAGACAACTCATATTAACATGATAAGCTTTACATGCAGCAGAAAGAGATATTGTTCTAAATGCTGAACATATCCGTGACCTTGGTACATGATAAAAGAGCACAACAAGATTATGTGACTACAAGAAAATGCAAACATGTGTGCATTAAGACATACCCACACTGTAGGGGGAAATTACTCTCAAGGA